TGTCCAAATCCTTCAGAATTCCCCCCCACCCCTGCACCCTAAACTATCATCAGGTCTAACTTGGCCTATACTCAGGCAGATTCTCCTTAGACGACAACAACAACAAAATACAATAGTACCAGAGACATAGCACGTCTGAAACAAAGTTGATTATTCACCTGATTATTCCCAAGTCCCGTACCCAACTTCCTCCTGCTGCTGAGTTCCCTATTTCTATTGATGGGAACACCTGTCAGTCAATGCCTTGGAATCCTATTTAATTCTTCCCTCATCCTTAACTTTTCCCTTTCTACCCTTCAGTCTAATCAGGTACCAAGTCTTCTCTCAAGATCTACCTCCCTGGTTCTCTAATCCCACTCCTCTTACTCCCAGGTAGGCTCTTATTTCTTCCTGCCAGGACTATTGCAACAGCTTCCTAACCATTCTCCTCTTATGTAGGACCACCAATTCATTAAAAGGCTGCTGATCTTCATAAAGCATAGCTATGATGACATCACTCCTACTCAAAAGCCTTCCATGGCTCCCATCGCCCGCATGCTAAAGTCCAACTCCTTAAAATGACAAGTCTCTTAACAATCTGGTTCCAAGTTACACTACTTATCCACTCATACCTTGTACTATAGCCAGACTGAACTCCTCATTGTCTCCCAGACAAAGCCTATACTTTGCATTCCCACTGTAAATGAGCATTTTTGCCTCAGGATGTTGCCTTAGTTCTCTGCCTCACTCCCCGACCCCCAACCTATCCAAATCTTCTCAAGTTCCATACTGGAAACTTCCCCTGACTCCTCTCTGTTCTCTGATGTCTTCCAGCCCTTAAAGTGCCAGCTACGTAGGCAGCTAGATGGCGAAGTGGATAGAGCACCGGCCCTCGAGTCAGGAAGACCTGAGTTCAAATTTGGCCTCAGACATATGACACTTATTAGCTGTGTGACCCCGGGCAAGTCACTTAACCCCAATTGCCTTACCAAAAAGCAAAAAACAAAACAAACAAAAAAAGTACTAGCCACATGCTCTTA